ATTGCGGTGAAGAGATGAAATTAAGAGATCCTTGCAGCTAAGAACACTACTGAAAAGAGTAGTTCAGGTCCTATTTTCAACTACTTGTTTCAGTAGTGTTTTTAGCTGCGAGGATCTCATAATTTCAGATTATGACTGGTTCTTTATTCAACACTTTTTTGGGTGAAAACTGTTAAAATTTCTGTTATGGGAAACTTTGCCAAGTCATTCGTGTCATCTGACCCCTCAATGGGTTTTTACAGTATTTATCTTTGTTTTGATTGGTTTTATGACTTTTAAATAGAAGATCACTTTATACCACACGAATAGCCTTTAACTCACTTGAGTGACCTAGACAGAATTTCTCCTTATAATACAAATACAATAACAGGCAGACAAGTGATAAGAATAAAGAAAAATATCAATGAGGGCATGATTAGTTGGTCTACTACCAAATACTCTTAACGTACCTAAGGAGAATGAAATGGCAGCCAGTAATGAGAATAAATAATGATATCTTGGGATTGAAAGGGTCAAAGGGCAATTAGTCTCAAAATTCATACCTTTACCTTTAGTTTAACATTCTATTTAGTTAATTGCTTTCCCCCAATTATCAATTTTTAACAGACTTTGATGAGTGCCAAGCTCCTGATCTCAACAATTGTCACAAAAAAGCGAAATGTACCAACACTGTAGGTTCATATAACTGTTCTTGCCTAAAAGGATTCATTGGGGATGGTGTCCTTTGTCGAGGTAAGCTTTTCTGACCTTTAGTCTTAAAGCTATTAGCATCATGGCCAAATAGACTGATCAGTTTTCATGAACCAGTCTTGTGTGCCACTTTTTTGGTCTCAATGCATTTTAATGTAATTTGTCATCTATTACTTAACAGATCAATGGTAGTATGGAATCTGTATATAATGAAAGAAAACCAGCGCCCACATCGTTCCTTTTAGAATTTGCATGGCACCGCAAGCTCTCTCTCCTGTGGCTTTCTGGCAAATAATGCATCGCTTCCAGTCCATGGTTAATTAAAAAGCCGAAATTTTTTTTTTTACTCTTCTATATCTTGATGCAAAGAAAAACGCATCTATTCATCTACTGGCACAAAACATCACAAAATATATCAAATTTTAACAGTGGCATCTTGTGATAAGTAACAAATTAGTCATTTCGTTTACCAATAATCTAAGAAAATGATAGATATTTAAACTGGAAATCTGAAATACTTTCTTACCCGAAGTAACTGTAAATAAACACGGAGGCTGCCATCTTTAAAACCTAGTTGAGTCCTGGGTACTAATACTTTGCAACTCTCAAAGGGTTGCCTGTGGCCCTGCTGCTTCTAAAGTTCTTTTTTCTTTGAGAGCATTTCTATCTTGTGCTGAGGGTGAAACCTTAAACTTCCTATTGATAATTCCAAAAACTTAGTCATATTGAAGCAAAGAATCGAAAGCCTACATAAGAAAGTAAAATAGCTTTATTAAGTAAAGACAGGGTGTTCCATCTTTAAAGCTGTGCGATTCCTCGGCCCTGATGTTCAAACTAGAGTTTCGTGACCCATAAGCGGGACCTCTACGGCTATGTTGTTTCGTATTGCTGCCTTTTTTTTTTTTGATATTTCACACATCACTCATGATTGATGTTTAACCACAGGGTACCCAAATATTATGATAACTATCAAAGGAGGTGGTCACGTGATGGCATAAGATGAATACAAATGGGTAGAAAATAAGTCATTGGTTAGGTTGGAAACCTTTTGTCGTTTAAGAAGATTAAGAGGATTTTATATTCTTAACCTCGTTTCCATGTTAGCGAGTTTCTGACATGCGTGGTTCTCGTCTCGAGAGGGTAATAGGGATGGGCCCTATATCACAAAATGTTAGTCTTAAGGTCACAAGTGTTGTAGCAAAGATTCATGCTTTTATCATCAATTTGAACAAGTTTGGTCAAAAACCGTTAAACCTTTCATGCGAACATTTATTTGTGGGGCGTTTACAACTCTCAGCATTACTGCGTAACCTTTTAACCGAAAAGTGTGACCAGCATCTAATTTCTCCTTACAATAACACCTCTGAATCACGTTAGGAAGTTCTAAATTGTTAAACAAATTGTCCTCGCCAGTACCCCACGAAATGCACAAAGAACAGTAAAGTGAAGATGCATACTGTTTTTAAGGTATTAACAATTCAATTCAAAGCGTTCACCTATGTCAGTACCGAGGAACAGGTCTTTGAATTAACTGGAAAACGCTAAGAGCTCATAACTGAAGAGGAAATCAGTTTTTCAACCCAATAGTGACCGTTGGTCTGCATCTTATTTCGTCTTATTGTGTCACTGAAACGATTTCAAGTAAAA